GAAGAAGGCGAAGAGCTAACACACACGGCACTAGGCACTTCGAGCTACGATATCTTATGGAGCTGGTTGCAGCAGAGGAAAACCATGGCCGAGCTCAACACGATAAAAAACCAGATTAAGTTACTGACGCAAATATACAAGATAAGAGAAAAAATCAAGAAAGACCTGCTAAGAAATACTTGCTATGGAGTACTTATACCACCCAGTGAAAATCAAACTGCCCTTGATCAGATGTTCCTTCAAGCAGCAACAGAAGTTGACGAAAAGCTTAATCATCTAGAAGAAAGCCTGATGAAGTTTCAAATCTCTTCCCAGAGTCTGACTGACATTAGGGATGAAGTCGTCTGTGTGGGTCTATTTCTGAAGATTCGCGTTGTTCAGTGTCAGATCAAGAAGCGCTCCATTGATGTCCGATTCGATGACGAAGAATGGTTAGGAAGACAGCGGAAGCAGCTGGACGCAGGCAAAAAACTCACCAAGCAAGATGCTGATGACATAGAGGCCACCATCAACGAAATCCGAAGAAAGTGTGGATTGGAAAGTTTGACTCCCGAAGAGCGTGTTATGATTGTCAAGGCTATGAAATTCGCTAAAGGTCACTGGTACAAGTGTCCAAACGGACATATCTACGCCATAGGCGAATGTGGTGGAGCAAATCAACAAAGATCGTGCCCAGACTGCGGCGCGACAATTGGTGGGGTGGATCACCGACTGGCTAAAGGAAATCAGGTATACTAACCAGACAATGACTTGTTTGGTGCCGATTGGCCGTGGTGTGCTTTTAGCTAAGTGCTTGAATTAATCAACGATTCATACCAAAGGTTTAACCGAAGTCGAAAATGGAACATGCCCATAACAAAGATCGATAGACGCAACGTCTATCAATCAAGTCAGTCCCAAGCTGAGAAGTACTCCTCATTGAAGCATGCTAAGTTTGATGGCGCTTATCACTTGAGCTACATTTTCCCTTTATTGTTGCTCTAAGTGTATTCATATTTCTTTGTAATTTCATTTCAGGTTGCCACAGAAATGGACGGGGCAAAGTTTGGTGCTTGGTCCAACCAAACCAACCTGGAAAACTACGACCCTAACGAGCTGCGACGGCTGCAGTTTGAATGAGAACAAGTTACGATTATGCTACAGGATGTTGTGAGCATCTAGCATTTAATGTACAGTTGAAGCACAGTCCTGTGTTTTTCTAGATAAAGCGCTGATACAAACAGTTTTTGTGGCCAAACCAATGATCAAACTCATTAATAATTCATCAAGGTTAAACAAAGGAAATCATGACCATGACGGTGTTAGGATATCTGATCTTAATTAGCATAGATTTTAACAATTTTAATTCTCCATTTTCTCCTTGGGTTTAGTTTCGATTGAGAAGCTATATCAAACTCGAAAGAGTGAGTTTGATCACATTTCCAAACGCCGATAAGAGAGTTGAAAATACGACGCACAGCGGAGTATTTTTGAAACAACCATTTCCTTTAGAAACTCAATTGAAATATGACTGCCGCGGCAAAAATGATTAAAAATAGTGGTTCACATATATAGTGACTTTACAGGTGGCATTTAAAAGTAAAGGTTATTGTCTGTTGAGCCAATGCATTGGCCAAACGGTAACACCACAAATTTTCCTTCAGGCAGCCAAACTACTCAAAGTGAATTCAGTAGTGGGTGACACCTCCCTTGAAGCAGCCTGTACTAGCACTCCTCAAAGGGCCTTCTACCGTAAGGCACCATATGTCATGTAAGGGAAAATCTCCTGTAAGGGAGATGAATCAGAAGTTATAAATGAAGTACTAAGACGTAGAACAGAACTCCTTTATCTTGCTTCTGGGCCGATCGGCTGTCAAATTCTTAAACCTATGTTCAAACGACGGTCTCCAAAAGGAGCAGAGCTTGTCTGCGTGTCCGTATCGTATAGGCCTTTCGTATTATTATGGAGGCAGAGATGAATTTTTAGTTTCTCTTATCTGTCTGTCACAATATAGAGCTATCGGTATGGATGGTTTCGATTGTATTAATTATTATATACTTATTTGATAGTTATTAATTATTCAATTATTATTCAACAGTTTTGAAGACTATGAGGTAGACAGTGGTTTGCCTAGCTTCTTCTCTGCTCAATAAGATGTTTTATTTTTGCGAAATGAACTTTCCAAAAGTGTAGTTACTTACATTCCGTGTGAAATATTTGCAATAGTTTGGGTGTCTGGAAAACCCGAATAGCGAATAGCGAATAGTCGCGAATAACGAACAGCGAATAGTCGCGAATAGCGGATAACACGAATAGTGCGAATAGAGGCGAACAGTCTCGAATAGTGGCAAATAGTGGCCAATGGTGGCAAATCGTAGCAAATAGGGTACCCAGTATCTCGCAGTCAACCTCACAGCAACGTAGGATGGGATTT